CTAGATGTAGTGGGAAGCTACAAACTGCAACGCAATTTCTTAAAGAAGTTCGGCGCAGTAGTAACTGTGGGATCGCTGGATTGTCCAGCGAATTTTCTATTAACTCAAGTCAAGTCAAAATGTGTTTTATGCATCCACGGAGGGTGAATATTTAGCCGCAAAGATGTGAGGTTTGTCGGAACTTGACAAAGTTGCAAGCTTGAGCGTGTAGGAGCACACAACGTGCAAAAACAGCTGTGTGCCAACTTCATTCACCATCATGATTATACACATTAGCCAGAGGGGGGAAACACCTCAGCTACCTTGCCGCAATACATAAAAGAAAAAAAAAGAAATTTGCAGCAGGTGCAAGCCAGCTGAGCTACCGGTAACGGATGGGCATCGTTCCGGTAAGCTACCAGCCGGCTGCTACGCAGCAAACAAAATTACTACGTAAAATTATATAAGGCTAAGTAGTGCGATCGTGCTTAGAAGGGGAGACTAATGCGGATGGCGTGGGACAAAGAAACTCACAACGCGAACGACACTGAGGTCGGCTCCTAGCTCTATCAATAAGTGTATCCAGCCAAACGCGTTCATCGTCTTTCGGACCCCAACCAGGGAGCCGAGACGCTCCAACTGAGGCCAGTTTCGAAGTGAGGGCCTTCATTCCTCTCGACCAAGTCATCGCTTGGCCACCCCTCCTCTTCTTCGATCCACACCCGGCACGCAAACAAAGACCGTCGCGAGAGTCGGTGGGCTGGCATGTGTAACACGTGGCCTAGCCATCGGAGCCTGGTGCGTGAAATAACGATGCTGAGCGGTTCATTTCCTTCTCCTATTCCCTAAACAAGGCGCCGAACAAGCTCGTTGCTTTCTCGGTGTTCCCAGCAGATGTCAGCTAAATTGCGAAGACACCGGTGGTCGAACGTAACTAGCCTCTTTATGTCCGTTGATCTAAGGGGCCAGGTTTCTCAACCGTACAGTAAGGTCGAACGTACCGCTGCATTGTACACTCTAGCCTCCAGCTCGAGTGATGTCGCGCCGTGGACAATGTATATACCATGAGCAAAGACGGTTCTGTTTATTGGTCAACCATCCATTCTAAGTGATCTCCTCATCTTCGGCTTCCTCGCCTCAACCAACGCGAATGCGTTCCACTCGTCTGGTTTGCCATATTTTACCGTTAATTTTCTTCAGGGTACGGCCCCCGTTCACTCAGTCGACGCTCACCTAAGTTCACCAGCCACTCATACCACCCCTGTGCTCAATACTTGTGTCTGGAAGAGAGTAAGAATTGTCTATAAAATCGACTATTTTGGCGAGTAATCGATTATTAACGAGTTTCGCATCGAGTTCGAACGTCCTGGAAGATTCTAGTTTCTGCAAGTGAATAAATACCACCTGAGACATCTCAGCAAAAGTTATGGGGAACCACTAACCTTGGTAGCTGACCTTCCACTCCTAGTAGTCGAAGGTCAATAAGCGATCTATAAACACAGCCAAGGTCCGCGGTAGTCGCACAGTGTTTGTTGACGTCGATTAATACGTTATTTTGTCAAGGTCCTTGGCATTCTGCTTTTTCCTTCGTTTGGGCTAGAAATTTTGTGGAGTAGTAAAGTGTCAATTGCGGAATCGCGTCTAGTGAGAAGATTATAACAAATCGGTCATCACTTCTGCGTTCCGCATGAAGTCAGTTCAAGCTAGCAGCCCGGCCTAGTTTAATAACGCCGTGGTTTGATTTTCTATCCGTTTGGTCGTCTAATAGAAATACCACGCTCCCTTTGCTAACGTATGTAACGAAGAGAAAATCCGCATTTACTTAGCCAGCTACATCCGACGGTGATCTACCTAGTTGACATCCTGCTGGTTAGTAAACTTCTCGTGGTTGTAAGCAAACGGACCAAAAGGGCATGCCAGGAGTCATCAGGAGCTATTCAACTGAACCAATAGCCTGGATGTAGCTAAACTGGGTCAACCCCTCACATCTGTTACATGAAGAAACAAACGAGTGAGCATTGTCCTTTCCTTTTTATTTCGCACTCACTTATTGAACTATAACAGCTCTCTATATTATTATTCTGCGCGTGTACATCCCATTCCCACTACAGACTATTATTATGCAGTAGTGCATTTAACTCGGCGAACGCATGAAATAACGATTTACTTATCCGATGATTCTTCAAATTTTAATTTCTACTCCAACCATCCTACGGGACTCGTCAAGCACATGCTTTTTTACCCGTGATAAATCATTGTTCATTGAATGTAAATTGGTTCGAAATGTTGCTCGGCAGTGCAATCCGTGCAATAAAATCTATCAATTCTTTATTGGTTTCGTGCTTATCGTTCTAATTTTATTCGGTTTAGCATTAGATAAAACTTGCTCACTAGGGTCCAACACATAAAGCATCGATATCTGCTACCGTTGCAGTTGCCAGTGTTGCACGAAGAGTCAACTACATTACGCACAACCATGGGGGGTGTACACCCGTGTGATTTTACGACAGTACTTGACATTTAGATCACACGCTCTCCCACTAGACCAGCCTAATCGTGAACTGCAATAGTCTTCCAGTCGCCTCTGAATGCGAGCGACTGTACTGCTTCTAAGTGGGGAGGAGCGAAGAGCGATGAGTGTCTGCAACATCACCCGATGATACGTAGCGCACTTGGGTTCACCATGCTTAAAGTTCAGGCTATTCAAACAGCGACCCACAGCTTTGTATGCGCGTGCGACCAAGTGCAGTGCCCGTGCATATGAAAGTTAGTTGGGTCTCCTTAGCCTTTAAGACGAAACTAATGTCTGATCTCAAGGTTCCATTGGAACGAGGACCCAAGGGACAAGTTGACATATCACCAACTTCACGGAGGTGCGCATCGGTGGACCCGTGAAGGAACGCCGCGAACTAGCGGCAGCCGATGTCGTACTGCTTCTATGCCGCGGCCGCTAAGTCTGCAGTTTATCACTAAATGGTTAGTAACCTGGACACAATATATTTACTGTGATTCGATGTGAGAGGCGTGGACATAACTTACAGGTTACTAAGTACATTTAATCAATATTTTGTAAACAGCAATGCATGGATAGTGGTGGTGGCATCCTTTTAGAGACGAAGCCTGCATCCCTTAGTATGTTGACAGATACGCGACACACAAGTTGCATGTAAGTACGCAAACAGGTCATTACCGAGGTAACTACAAAATCAGCGACGTAATTTCAGGCTGAACTGGGACTAAATTCTGTCGGGGAAACGCGGTTAACCCGACAAGTGAACTCATAGAGTAGGACTTTTATCTATGGCTTCGCGCGTTCTAAACCGTTTCCTTCCTACTGAGACGAAGCCAACAACAGGGTATGAAAATTACCTGAAGGCAACAACCTATTCGTGAAGAGATAACGTTGCAGTACCGTTTTCTGTCGAAGTACCTACCTAAGCAAGACAGATGCATGTTTCTTCCAGCCGCCGAATAATCAAAACATCAGAGTACTGAGAAAAAAACTAGAGATTAATGACTCAAGGGATCAGATATACAACGTATACGTTTGAAGCGTTACCCCACCTTTTTGTCTTCCCACCGGCTATGTCCTTTTGTTGTGTCACATACCGTCTAACTTCATTAGCCGGGAAACGGCGTTCACCCAGTCGGCTCGGCTCAACCATGCTTGCACTGGCTGCGGTCACTTTGGACTCGGCTGGTGATGAGCTGCATCGATTCTGCGCTGCTGATTTGGCCCGTCTAATCGTTGTCAACTCGCTTGGGCGGCACTTGCCTCGCTTTCTGTCTATTAATCCTGGGTTGGCTTCCTACACACTGTGTTATCAACTAGATTTGCTAACGCGAGTGGGCTGTCCGCTAGCCACTGCTCAAATCAATCTGCTCCCCGTTTGTTTGCAAGCACGCTGCGCTTCGTTTGCTCTAGGCTGTCAATTCTGTTTGGTCCTTCCGACGCCCGAGGTTGTGGGTAGCTCAACTGTGTGACAATTCCTTGGATAGTTGCGCACTGATCCCGCGTCGGTTAGGCACACCGGAACTATTCCTTACCATCACCTTGATGACCTACGGATGAGACTAGAAGCAAAAGACAATTGAAAATTGGGGAGTAGATGGACTCAGGCGGACTTTACCATCGTACTGCAAGCTGTCTGGATTTTTGCCTTGGACATACAGGCTTTTCGATGTTTACACTGCACCACTCAGAACCAATGCTAATTTGGCATTCTACATGTGCGGCAAATTTTTGATCAACCATAATGTTATGGAAGCACACGTTCCCACAAGATTGTACAATTCGAGTCACCTGAATTACATCTTTGTGTGCTCGCTTTTGAATCGGCAGGTTCGGAAACGTCTCGATTTTATCGCGCTCAAATCTTCTCGTTTGGTTCTATGTGAAAATTCAAATATCTCGCCAAATTCCATATATCAACCGGGCTGCGCGACCTTGTGTTCATTGTACTGGGTCGAGTAATTATTTTTATTGAATGCTTATTTTCCTTTCCGCCTCCAGAGTTAAAGTAGATTTTGCTTGGCGTTCGTGTTGCGCTTGTGGAATAAACTCCGACATGACAGTATCTTTTGTACCGGGGATACATTCTGCAATAACCATGTCTTTCGTCCTGGTTAAGAAGATCGTTATATCTAGGCTGATAGATTCATCAATACATTGGTCTGTCATCAAGTGCGTGAATGCATTTTTCGAAACCTACCCTTCAATGACTTATAGTTCCTTTCAAACCACAGAATGTTATCGCCTGTTTCCATTTGTCCTACCTACCTGGTGTGAGCACATGAAAAGTGGAAGCAGATCAACAACAACAACAAGCTCCATGATGACCATTAACAAAGTTAAATATTTTTCGCTGATATTCTCCGTCGCACGAGAAGGAATATGTTTGCGTAGTCTGCAGGGTGCTTTCGCAACCCCCCCCCCAAATACTTCCTTCCCTAATATGTGCTTTTTTCACCTATACTATTTGTAATCTACTGAATGGTATCACTTTTCTTCCTCACCTCAGGCAGGCTCAAGGTAAACATTGGAAACATATATTTTGCTCAGAAGCAATACATGAAAGCCATCAAATTTTATCGCATGGGCCTCGATCAGCTGCCGAACACACACAAATCAACACGGTACGCATGCGCCTCAATCACCTGCTATTCGTCTATGCATTCTCTTTTGCACATCATATCAGCAGAAGTGGCTAAGTTAACAATAACCGAGTTGGAAGTCCATCGGTCATTTTGGTTAACTCCGTGTAGACACGTGACAACTCGACACTTTAACGGCCCGATAAAGCTCGTGCGAATGCGGAGAAGCACGAATTGGTGTTCAATTCGCTCCGTGCAACTCTGGTTCAAATTGGATGTCAAGCTCCGATTCCTAGCATCTCAAACTCTATTACGCTAAATGCGCAAGGGATCCAAATATCAGTCATTACGCAAATTGCTAACAGGATAATCCCACTTCACCATACAATGAGTATTGTAATGCCTGCTTTGAATGTAGTGTCTTAAATCAGCGTATCTGTATTACATGTACGTAAGCTAAAATGCCGAAGAACCTACCTAGGTTTGATCAATATAGTCTTGGGCTAGTATCGTAAATCAGGGACTATGAAAGGTCATTATGTTTCATGTGAACGTCACCCGGTTGTTAACACTTGAGCATCACTTCCCGCGTCAGTAAAATCATCCAGGTCTATCCAAATGTGGGACCACCAGCTGCTTCGTCGCAACTTTCATGAGGCCGGGATTATCACCTGAACGATGCAATAAAAGTACTGTACTGGCTAACTCATTAAGTCGCTGGGTGTTCAACTATTAATGGGTTCGTATCCACACAAAGATTTCTCAAAGTCAGTAAGAAGTAAGCTCACCACACAGTCTGTCACACACCATAAATGTGTCTGTCTGGTTGCGTGAAATTCAACGGCTATTTCGAACAGCAACTTGTCATTATGTCGCACTGCTATTCTAGGGGAACTAACTTGATGCACCGGACTCCACAGACAACTGGTTAGCTACTATCAGCTGCTGACATGGGAGCTCCATCCGCTAAGTACATGGTCGGTCGGTTCATGATTGATTTCCTATCCTCCCCCCGGGTCGCATACCATAAGTGAGTAGATGATCGCCTCGTGGACGCTGACATAACTGAATATGTTTTAATAGGATCGCCTGATCCACCGCCTGAGATATGTAGGGTTAAAAACGACGGACAACTGATGGTGTTACCGTACAATTAATTCCAGCTCTTTTCCTCCACACCTCTCTATCACCATTGCTAACCAAATTGCCATAGCGCACATTCCACAGAGGCATAGATACCTCACCACCGTTTGCACGCATGACTCAAAGGTACCTCGAACCATTCTATTGCAAAAGCCCCATGTATCAATACACGTTACTCCAACTCCTTTGGCACATCCAACGAACGCACCCTGAAATACATAGAAAAACTGGGCGGACTTGCACCTAAACGGGACACCCTGAACTTGTGTATACTGTGCTTCCGAGCTAAAGCTCATGGCTAACACGAGGTTATCGAACTTACCATGCTAACCGTATCCCTTTGCCATTGTGCACTTGCAATCAGATATGACACTGCAGCAGGTACAAATAGACCTAGAGTAGGCATCATCCCCTGCCTCAGATCTGTTCGATCCGATTTTCGTGAACCGCCATCTCTGTGCAATCCGTGTGATCGTTGATTGAGACAACCTAATAGGTCACTACAGGTAGCTCTTCCTTAACGGTTACCGCCAATGGCGTGCACTACTTAAGGTCTTATGCTGCTAAAAACCATCTTCCACGACATTAAGCGTTCTCATTTGACGCTTGTGGAGGGAGGAACAACAAGTTACATGTTACACAGTCAAAGGAATGAGCATGCGCAAAGAAAAAACGTTCGTTGTGTTTTTAGAAACTGCATGGCAATAATTAATAATCGTGTGTCAGCTGTAGGCCGTAACGGCGCTTCGATGCCGCACAACCACAACTAGTCGCGCGAGGGCTGAGTATACCGCGAAGACGCCTACCCCTACGCGGATTCGAACCGGCGACCTAATGGTTGCAATCCGGGCGCGCAAACCAATCGGCTACCGGATGACGCCTGGCAATGACATGTGGTAACGTACGAAGCACATCACTTCATCTTGGACAGGTTTGGAACCACAGTGTGCTGTGAGACATCTCAATGTGGAGTGGACACCCAGCATGAGGAGCAATGGAATAGTGGCATAGTGCAAGTGCAGGGAACGCCAAGGCTTGATAGGTCCCATGGGACGGTTTGTGTGAAGTGCATGCTCTGCAAAAGGTGACCATTAATAGAAACGAACATCTGTGAACTTATCAAAATATCCACGTTAACATACATGTTTAGCCCTTTAGCACGACTTGGTGCAGGTTGGTGAGCACAATGTTTATCTGCGTCTTGTCGTTACTCGGTGAGCGAACTTTAAATCAAGTTGTGCTGATGGCGCAATGCATTACCGAGTCGTTTTTCTAAAATATATAATGTGAGCGCAAGAATCACGAGAGTCAAAAGAACATTCCACGGCCGATAAATGCTGAAAGAGAAATAATTCCGGCAGCATTCTAGCCGACTGTATTGAGTGGTCAGCTTCAGCTCGTGTCCCTACAGCTTTGTGTCGCGCCTAAGATTAAAAGAGTGGCGGCAAACGTGAATAGGGATTTCCAAAATCTGATAGGACTTTCAGTTACAGATTGTATTACAGGTGAAACAACCCCTTCAACATTTTGGTTACCCTTCGTCGTGAGGTCGCCAGTGCAACCAGGGTTGCCAGGTCTGAGTCGCTTACTCTACTAGGAGCCTCATATAAGCGTTGAACTTTTGCTGTAATTTGTAAGGATCGAACTCCCGGAACGCTCTTCATAAAAGGCCAACCTGTTGGTTCGCGGCTTTGGACCTCTTCAATGACTGCTCCTGACAGCTCAGGTCACCTCTTATCACCACGCCAAGGTCGCGCTCTTGCGAGATGGTCTTAAGATGTTGTCTCCAAGCTAGTATATGTCAGTGGGATTGTAGCGTACATGACACTTTTACACTTGTCCGTGTTGAATGGAAGTGGATTTGAAGCAGTTGGTTCCCTACAGTCCCTTGAAAAGTGAAGTAGGAAGCGGAAGACTGGGGAACGCACGTATTTCGTACTGTCTTATCAGTGCCTTTAACAATAATTAGCAATAATATTTTTACAGGACAAGAGGCTACCAAACATGGCGGCATCCGGTTCCGGAATGGCCTGTAACTGCGGTCTCCTTAGGACAGCCACAGGACGCCCGCGTTTACAGAAGGATCATAGGCTGTTTGCGATGCACCACCCACAGCTCCATCCACTCGCTTCCAGATATCCGGTATAAACCCTAAGGAATAAGACCAGAAGACATGTGGATGGGAGCCACGTTTCATCAACGGAACCGGCCCACACTCCTTCACAAGCAAACACAACCACATTGTACTTGGGAATCAAGCGCACATAAGACAGTGGCTGGACCGTGGTCCGCTCCACACTGAGTGCATGGAACCGCTCTTCGAGCCCAGCATGGCCACAAGGACCGTGCACCTTGTCCCCTTCAGCAACGACCAACTGTCTCCTGGACCCAGTATGGACGAGGTAGTGGGCAATGGACAGGTAGGCACCTTGTCAACATGCACATCAAGCGCAGCCACACCGGGGATATCAAGCAACAGCGAATCACTTGAAACGAAAAGATGAAATAAAACGAATCCAGTAATGCATACAGATACGGTGGCATAACTCTTCGCTAAATTAGCATATGAAGTAAGCTGGTTAGCAACGAATTCGCGATAAGGAAAAAGGTTCACAATTTAGTTGACAATGCTACAGACGCAGCAAAGTTACCGAAGATAAGTGCAATTAGTGTAATCAACGAGGCCGGTTAATAGGAGATTATTCATGTAGGTAGAACAACCCAAATAAACTGGAATGGAATGTAACCAGCTTAAAAAGCCCTAGTTGGTACGCTGGTTTAGCCCAACTGCGATGAAGAAGCATCAAGAATGCAACATCCGCCTCAGCGTACCATATATATATATATATATATATATATATATATATATATATATATATATATATATATATATATATATATATATATATATATACAGAACAGTCAACAGTACCTTTGGCGCGGTGCCATAAAGTATGGACAAACATAAGCATACAACAACAACAACAACAGCAACAACCACAACCACAACAACAGCAGCAACAACAACAACAACAACAACAACAACAAGGAAATAGAGAGGGTAAGAATTTTCAAAACTGGAGTCATGGGGCGATCTCACAACATGTTCGCCACTGCTCTCGCTTTCTTGATATGTCCGATAAGGTTTCCAGCCAAGTGTGTTCATGGTCCTTGAGACCCGAACCGGGGAGTCGAGAACGCCCGACTGCGGCCCAAGTCATTCGCTGCCCAGCTTGTCTTCGCTTCCAGCCGACTTTTGTGCACGCAGAGTACACGGTGAGGCAAATGCTCAGTAGACATGCGAAGCACGTGCCCAAGCCACCGAAGACTATGCAGTGAAAATATACGGCTCAGCGGCCGGCAAAGTCTGTCCGATTTGGAAATCTCTCGACGTACATCCTCATTAATAATGTGGTGTTGCCACCGCACACCATCGCGACGAGGAGACCTTAACTTGGTGCGATGGCTTGTGTGCCTCAGTGGTCCATTGAGCTATGCTGTGTAGTGTTTTTTGCACCTTCAGAGCCACTAATGCCAGATTGCTCAGTGGTTAGAGGCCAGACAAACTCAGTCTCCTGGCCGTCCAGATTGGGAGGTGGACGGATGGTGGCTCCTTACTCCATGAAACGGGCTTTCTGTAGTCCAGTGCCGAAACCCCGCTGCCTTGCGGTCAGGTTTTTGAACTAAAGGCTTTGGTTGCAAACACTAATCGTTCTCCTCTCTAGGTCTGGGCAACCTGACAGTATTCTGCTCAAGCAATACAATGAACCCTTCATCAAATAAGTTCTTGATGCTCTGGACGTCACAGATGATCAACGGAACCCTACCTACTGCATCGAGCAAGGTAGATGGGGGTTTGGATGCTACTGCTCAAGCCTTCTTATCTTCTTATTCCACTT